GTTAAAATTAAAGACATCCTGACTTATAGGTTTTCATGAGTACTTTACTTGTGGATTTCTTGGCTGAATGTATTAACATTTGTTTCTTCTCACTAAAAGTCCAAATTTTCAACAAAGCTGTATGTGTAAGATTGATAGTTTCATTCCACTTGTTCTTTTCATAACTGGTGTAAGCCACCAGGTTCTCAGTGTACTGCAAGATTGACTTCACAAACCTATAAAAAAATTAATTTCTTTATCCATTCCATTATAAAATGAAACAATGAATTAAATGTCTTCTCTTCATTCTTGGAATTATTCCTCAACTGCACTTGATTTATGTCTGAGGATTCAAGAAAAATAAATCCATATAAAACAAAAATAAGAGAATACAAATTAGAGGAAAGAGAAAAATACTGAAATGTAAATGCTACTGGACACTTGGACAGGCTCCAACACGAGTACCTTTTCAGACATTCTTCTCCAGCCCGGACATGACGGCCGTCATTCCAGGAAGGAACTTAAGGGTCATCTGCACCAAACTGACACTTAACACATAATAAACACACAATACAAAATAAACACACAACACACAGTCATCCATTGGATACCAAAATCCAAGCATACTCAAGTTCAGCGTGAAAAAATCGGCCCCCTGAACATGCAGGTTTCGCAATGAGATTTTTGTGTTTTGTTTTTTTCCCCACATTGATGTTTGCAACCAAGACCACTGCAATTTCATCCTGTGTTTGCATGGGATGCAGAGCCTGCTGATACAGAGGACCAACTGTATTTACTGAAAAAGCTCCCTGGACAAGTGGACCTGGGCAGTGCACCCCTGCATTGTTCAGGGGTCGGCTGCAATGACAAAGCAGACCTTTTAACCTGCGTTGTCCAGGGGTCGGCTGCAATGACAAGCAGGCAGCGTGCCCTCCCCCTCCTCACACATCCAGCTTCCATCCCCCACGATGGAGGGGCCGGCTCAGAGGAGACACGTGCCAGAGACAGCTGTTGCTGTTAAAGAGATTTTACTTAAGATATTTGTCAAAATGTTAACAGCGGGGTCACTCTGACTGATGACAACAAATGTCATCTTTACTTTTTCCACGTTTGCCAGGTAGTTTTCACCAACATTTTATCTTGAAAATATTCAAAGTTAAAGAGAAGCTAAAAGGATAATATAACGAAAAGCCACAGAACACTTTGTCTAGAGGAGGGTTCTCTACTGGGTGATTTTGTCCCCCAGGGGATATCTGGCAATGTCTAGGGCACTTTTGACTGTCATGCGGAGGGTAGGGGTGCCATTGGTATTTTGTGGGTAGAGGCAGGGCTGCTACTGAACGTCCTACAATGAGCAGGGCAGTCCTGCACCAGCCCCACAATACCAGCAGTGCCAAGCATGGGGCACACTGAGCTGGAGTCCTCAGCTGCTAACAGTCTGCACATTTGCTCCCCTCACTCTCAGCAGGAGTCTATGCTTCTTTCCACAAGACACCCCAGTTGTATTTTCACGTTCACTGAAATGTGTACTGAGGTGCCTGGCACCTGCAAAACTCTGGCTTAAAACCAACAAGATATCCAGAACTTCCTGGCAGCCAAGGGAGGCTGGAGCCGGAGCTGCACTCAAGCCCAGATGACAGCTTGTGTCACCGCTGCCCAGAAGCCTCTTTGGTTTGGAATCTCTGGATGTAAAGTGGGTCACACAAGTGTCACACTACTTCAGACTCCCAGATAGGGATGGTCTTAAAAGTGGACTTCCCGAATTTGAAACTATTAGTTACATACGCGAATTTGGTTTTCGGCTGGGCACAGTGGCTTTTACACCTCTAATCCCAGCACTTTGGGAGGCCAAGGTGGGATGATCCCTGAAGGGCAACACAGTGAGACTTCATCTCTACAAAATCATTCAAAAATTAGCCAGGTACAGTGGCATGGCTGTGTTCCCAGCTACTCAGGGGGCTGGGGTGGGGGGATCACCTGAGCCTGGGAGGTCGATGCTGCAGTGAGCCGTGATTATGCCACTGCACTCCAGCCTGGGCAACAGAACAAGACTCTGTCTCCGAAAAACAAACAAACAAACAAACAAAATGTGGTTTTGAGACATTTGGATGTGGGAGTTCTTCTTGCAGGCCAGATGTCAGACCCTTGCCTGAGGCAGCGGTGGGGCCACCAAGGAGATGGTGGCCCTCATGCTGTCCCAGTCTCACTCCTACAGGCTCACCCCCAATCTTTCCCACGATGCAATGCGACTACAGAGAAGTGGGACATACTCACTGTAGGTACTGCTGATACTCATGCGCATTCTTCCCATGAACAGCATGAACGTTGACCAGCTCCAGCGTAATGAGGAACAGGATCAGGCTGAGCACAGGGGACGGTAGTCTGATACTAAAAACAGATGAAAGGAAATTCAAACCTGAGGAACGTTGGTATTTTCCACCTTCATCCGGAAAAAGATGTTTCACCTCATCAACATCCTTAAGTCCCAACTTCTCAAAAAATAATTTTCCTAATCCTCAGAGCCCAATGCCTGCTTCCAGCCCCCAGGCCCGGGGCTGGCGGGAGTGCCCAGTGTAGCCCTTGCTCCCGGCCCATCCTGCACGTCCGCATTCCTTGCTCATCAGTCATCGTCTGAGACTCTCAGACATCTGACGGTCTATGTCAGGGCTGCCAGGGGCTCTGCACACTCACGGGGCACCAGGCAGGCCCAGTCTGCGCCCAGCAGCCCCCCTGCTCCCTGCCCTGTGACATCTAGGGAGGGACTCTCACCAGAGGAGAACAAATGGCCTCAATATGAAAGCAGGCTCAATGCCACCAGATTAAAGAAATCCCAACTAAAGTAAGATCTTATTTTTCCCATGAAACTAGTTGAGACATTTAAAAATATTCTGGTTTTGGAGAGTGGTAATAAGAGAATGATCTTGTCTTATAAACTGCTGGTAAGAGTGTAAATTAAGTAACACCCTTCTGGAGGGGAATCCAGTGATATCTATTTAAAGCTTTAAAAACACGGATACCACTCAACCCAAAAGTTCTAGAAATGTATCCAAAATGGTCATTTTTTAAGGATGTAGCACATTCTAAAATATACACTGTAAGTGAAGGAACCATAATGCTGTTAATCTGCTATTAAGTTAATCTGCTGTTATATTTTAAATCCAAATCCAGTTAATCTGCTGTTATACTTTAAATCCAAATATTCATTTAGGTAGATAGAACCCACATTTCCATAGGCCAAATTACAAACACTATTTAAAATAGTATGTACTATAACTTTCTATGAAAATCAGCATGGGGAGTCCTCACAGTCCTCAGATAACATCATTTCATTCAACACCGTTTCATCACAACATCAGTGAGAAAAGAAATCGATACACCGTGAGGGCCACGGTCTGTGTGGAGAAGCACATTCTGCATGGGTTTTCTCCCGTCCTTTAGTTTCCTCCCACATCCCAGAGCCCTGCACATTAGGTGAACTGGCACATCTCCATGGTCCCAGAGTGAGTGTGGGTGTGTGACTGGCCCTGCGAAGGAACCACGTCCTGTCCAGGGTGGGTCCTGCCTTGTACCCGGAACTGCCGGGATAGGCTCCAGCCACCCACGACTCTGAATTGGAATGAGCAGGTTGGAAAATGAGTGAATGAATGAATGAATGAATACAAATTATAAGAACTTGTAAAGTCTACCATCATCATACAAGTGCTCGACGGTGCGTCGGTACAAAAGTGCTCAGTGACCCACACATTTGTTCCTGTTGGTGCTGGAGCTGTGGGTGGGGGGAAGGGGGGGGCCTGGGGAGGTCTCACTCTGCAAACATTTACTGTCTCATTTAACCACCACAGGACTGCCGTCACTCACTGCCTCGCCAAACACTGAGTAGTTCTCACTTGTTTCTATTCATCTTTCTTAAATATCCATAGAGCTCATGTGTCTCAATGTTAGGCTCATATGTGTCTCAATGTTTAACACTGTAAGTGCTTTGGGTCTTTCTTTAGAAGTTTGGTAATATTTTTATGACCAGAATCATGCTGTGGGAACTTAACTTTTGTTTCCACTGTACAAGGAAAATAAATCTCAGTACCCCAAACTCACTAAACCAAAGGGAAAAGTCAAGCTGGGAACTGCCTCAGGCAAAACCTGCCTCTCATTTTATTCCTAAATAAGGTGGCTACAAGAGAAAAAAGCTACATACAGACCTCCCTCACAGTTTGTCCACAAGGAAATGCCTCGTGGGCCTCAAGATCTCTACCCGGAAAGACTTCTGCTGAATTTCACCCTGGCAATGCAGTTGCCAGCTGATCTTCCCAGGGGTGGGACAGGGCGTCATCCCTCAGCTCACCTGACACAAATACCTATATGGTTGCTTCCTCTGCCCTGTGTAAAATGCAGCTTCACTGAGCCACACTAAGGTGTAAGTCACTATTCCTCTACCCCCATTCACAAGTCAATTATGTATTCACCGAAAGGCTTATGAAAGACTCAAAACAATGCAATCCTTTGTCTCTTGTCCACCTAGAACCTGGAAGCCCCCCACCTTTGTGTTTTCCTGCCTTTCCAGATGGAACCAATGTACACCTCACACCTACTGACTGATGTCTTATGTCTCCTTAAAATGTATAAAAATGTGTAAAAGCAAGCTGCGCCCCAAGTACGCTGTCAGGATCTCCTGAGGCTGTCACAGCACGTCCTTAACCCTGGGAAAGTAAACTTTCTAAAAGGATTGAGACCTGTCTCAGATACGTTGGGTTCATACTATCAGTTGTGAACTCCAAGTATATCAACACCTGTCGATGGGTTCAGTGAGGTGCCTACTGTGTGTGTCTTCAGTGGGGACTGGAACTGCATCTGTGACAACTTCCTGCCCCACAGTGCCCCTCCAAAACAGGAAAGTGAGTGCACACCTACGCCATATACGCAGGTAGTTCTGCCACTGGCGAGACTGCAGCGTCCTCGCCACCCACTGCCTGTGTCTCAGCTCCGAGGCAATGGTGACCTGGCCAGACTCGTGGTGACACTACTTGCCGATGCTTTGGAGCACAACCAGCACTTCCAGCACAATCCTGGGGCAGAAGAGGGTAGGAAAGGGTGTGCTGCAGAGCTCACGGAGCAGCTGGGGCCACCTGCAAACAGAGCCAGACTTGAAGCAGGCATTGTGATCCTCACCTGTACCTCACTCTCCTTCTGTACCTGCAAGGCTGCGGCTTTCTGGGAGCCAGGGCTAGCTGCGTATCACTGGTGGGTCTGCAGGGACAACCGTGACATGTGGCAGGTGTTAATTAAATACACTGAATTGTGGCAAACAGAATGTGACATTCACAGCCTCATCAGATGTGCCACGCTTGCACAGAGATTGTCAAAACTGATCTCATAATTCCTCTTGGAGCAGTAACAGTGGGATTCTAAGACTACTTTATAAAATCTAAAACATAGAAAATGTCTAAGTTTGCTATGCTAATCTGCAGAATCAATGTTTCAGCAGTTGTCAGGATGTCCTGGAACTTACGTCTCAGTAGGAAGATGATCCAAGTCCTTTAAAACACAATGATTCTCAGGCACATGGTGATACAGCTCATCCGTCATTTTTGTAATTAAAGAGTGGCTGGCATTTGTTTCAGAATTATCTTCTAATCTGAAAAATAGAAAATATTTAAAGATACGTGACAATTAAAATACCCACAGTAGTGCCCATGCGCAATGTTTAATGGTTCACTGAGCAGCAACCTGACTGTGAATCTTAGTTTCCCCAAATATAAAATGTAAAAAGCCACCATCACGGGACAGTGGAGAAAGAAACGATGCCCTATGCCAAAAGCAAAGTCCAATGATGACTGATGACGAGACGATGAACCACCTGCATATTCCTCCTGCTGAACAAGTATGTCTGCTGTTGTCTACGATTCCAGAATGCATGCCTCCATCCCCACTTCTCTCCTGAGCTTCAGACCCATCTTTCTTCCTGCCTACTCAGTAGTTCTCATGGACGCCATTGTCTACCCACAAAACCTGCCTCTCGTTCCATGTTCAGTCTCCACCAGGGCCCCAGGCCAGCTGGAAGATCGCATTCAGCATCACTTGCAGCTCCTCACAGCCACCAAGGCCCAGAAATTCCTCCTTCCCCTTTTATCTTCCAACAGCCTCGCTAAAGAAGAAATGCTGCTGAAACTAACAGTACCAGACAAGCTTGAGGTCAGCCAGGCCCCAGGATGCCACGTACCTGACTGCTTCCCAAGTGAGTTCTTCGGGGAAAGGCAGCAGAGCCCAAACCCTGATACTCTCCTCAAAGCTCAGCACCTGGATGAAATGTTTTATTGCTTTTGTAGATTTCACAGTAACTTCCTAGAAAATCTGTTTTTAGATTGTTATGGATGTTATGTCACTCTCTAGAAAATACGTATCTATAAAATTATTACAAATTCTAAACATTTTAAAACCAGATGGTGGGTGTCAGTTCTTCAGTAAAGATGGGGGAAGGCTGGGGAAACTGCCAGGGGATTGGTAGGGAGTGAACGTCGGGGGTGGCTATGACCATATCCACAGGTTCTTTCGACATCTGCCATTGAGAAGGAGGACCCCACCAAATCTGCACGAGCTCTGGTGACTGGCCTGGAACCAGCAGAACACAGCAGGTGTGAAGATGCTGCACGTTATGCAAAGCCATGTCAGAGGCGCAGGTGCCTCTCCAGTTCAGGCCGCAGTCGGGGTGCAGCCGCTGTCACCTTGACCCCTGCAGGACCCCCATGAGGCCTCTGGCCAACTTCCAGTCTTCTCAGACGCAACATCCACGAAGCCCTGGGGGACCACAGCTGTCCACACCCAGGCCAGGCCACAGAACAGATCCCTCGGCAGATGCTCCCCATTTCTAACCCACTAGCATATGAGCAAGTCAAACGGTGGCTGCTGACACCACGGAGCGTGAGTGGTCTCAACAGCAGGAATAACCGAAGCCCAGGATACAAAGCTGCCTGAATACCTGTGAGACGCCAGGAGGGGGACAGGAAGTGGTAAGGATCCAAATAGCCACCGTGGGGCGCAGGAGAGGATGGTCTGGAGCCTCAGCAGCTCTGGTTGGAAGACAAAGGCTGCCTTCTTGAAGCTCCTCTTCCTTCCTAAATCTTCCCTCCTCCCTACCTGCCCACCTCTACCTTCCTAAGGGCTTGCGCTTGGAAAGCACGGCAATCCCCACTGGTAAAGCTGGTCTGCGGCGCCAACCAGGAATGGCATCCGACCAGTGCAGCCCGATGCTCTGCCTCCAAGCCACACCTCCAGGAGGCTGTTTTCCCAGCTTCACTGCTGACAACCCCCTTCTGACAGTATTTTCCTTAAGGGAGGCCTCCGACTTCTCAAGGCACCATTTCTTTATTTTTTATTTATTTATTTTTTGAGACGGAGTCTCGCTCTGCCGCCCAGGCTGGAGTGCAGTGGCCGGATCTCAGCTCACTGCAAGCTCCGCCTTCCGGGTTTACGCCATTCTCCTGCCTCAGCCTCCCGAGTAGCTGGGACTACAGGCGCCCGCCACGTCGCCCGGCTAGTTTTTTGTATTTTTTAGTAGAGACGGGGTTTCACCATGTTAGCCAGGATGGTCTCGATCTCCTGACCTCGTGATCCGCCCGTCTCGGCCTCCCAAAGTGCTGGGATTACAGGCTTGAGCCACCGCGCCCGGCCCTCAAGGCACCATTTCTTTAAAGCGCCTTTGCAAATCTCTCCTGACCCGCTGTGTGTTGATTTTACAGCTTCCTTTTAGAGGTAGTCTCATTTGTGAATTTTCACCTGCACAGCTGTCACGATGCTTATATTCTTGGGGACTTTTTCATCCCCTTGCACTACCCTTGTATCCTCCCGTAAGTAGAATAAAGCACCTTTACTGATTGCCAAATTGGAACTTCCTGGCAGAAATGCTTAAAAAATTGTTTGTTTCAGTAAGTTAACAAAAGCTAGTCCGTGTAGGAGAAGAAAAACTGACATTACTCACCACTGACAAATAAAAACTGCTCCCAGCTCTGCGTTACTGCCTACAGCAATAAAAGCCTGCCAGGGGATTCAGCAAAAACACTTCCCGGTGCTCATCCATTTAACACTAAAAACCTCAGTGCCATCAGCACTGCATTACTTTCAACTGCGAGACACGGAACTTGGGGCTCAGAAGACTGAGCAACCAGGCCAAGGCCACAGCAAGCACCACGCTGGCTAGAAATCTGGATCTGCCCAACTCAAAGTCTAACTCAGCAGGCAAACTGCACCCTTCCAGCATCTCTGCAAAAGACAGGTGGTTTCAGAGACGTACACACCCCTCCCAGCACCCTGCATTCGGCATACCTGTTTTTTAGGCTGAAAAACCGGATGGCAGGGAGAACTATAGCCTTCTTCAAGACTAATCAACAATTCTACTGCTGCTTTTTCCCAGTTTAGAGAAAACAGTGGCTACTATCGTGTTTGGGTAGACTTAGTTTTCTTCTATCGAACTGTAGGCCAATTAGAGTCCCCATTTCTCATTATCTTTCTTCAAACAATTTTTTGCAGCTAGAAAAGCAAACGCTTCATTAAAATAGGTTTAACATGGCAAGGAAATCACAGCCAATAAAATGATTTTAAATGGAGGCCATTAACAATAATAGATCACAAATGCCACACCCACCTTCTGTGCACAAAACTGGAGATAAATAAGAAAAAAAGGATTCCAAACAATTGGAAATTTAACTAGGAAATAGTTACTTAAACACTAAAAAACAATACAACTAAAAAAAAATCACATAATCATTTAATTGCTAAGCACATACATATTTTTACAAGCATAAAAATTACATTATTTGAAGCTGATATAACCACATAACTTAAAAATCCAAGTCAGTGAACTGAAACCTATGAGAAACAAAGTCAGTGAATTGATAGTTGACAAATTAAAAAATCTGTAACTACCTACAATTCTTTTTTCTTTTCTTTTTTCTTTTTTTTTGAGACAGAGTCTTACTCTTTTTGCCCAGGCTGGAGTGCGCTGGTGTGATCTCAGCTCACTGCAACCTCTGCCTCCCAGGTTCAAGTGATTCTCCAGCTTCAGCCTCCTGAGTAGCTGGGATTACAGGCACCCACCACCATGTCTGGCTAATTTTTTTGTATTTTTATTAGAGACGGGGTTTCACCACATTTGGCCACACTGGTCTCGAACTCCTGACCTCAGGTGAACCACCTGCCTTGGCCTCCCAAAGTGCTGGGATTACAGGTGTTAGCCACTGCACCCGGCCCGCTACCTACAATTCTTAAAAGCACAAAACAAACAACTCAAGTAGCTAGATGTTAACTACGGAAGAAATGTGCTGGCCTTCCCTTCACTCAGATGTGTGAGAGCCTGGAGTGCACCAGGGAGTGTGCTGGGCAGAACACGGGAGGCACACACATGTGCCTGCACGGGTGATGTCCCCACAGGGCAGACCCACACGCAGCATATGTGTGCCACTGCAGAGCAGTGTATGTATTCCACTACAGAGTGGTGTATGTGTGCCACTGCAGAGCAGCGTATATATCCCACTGCAGAGCAGTGCATGTGTGTCACTGCAGAGCAGCGTACATATCCCACTGCAGAGCAGTGTATGTGTCACTGCAGAGCAGCGTACATATCCCACTGCAGAGCAGTGTATGTGTGTCACTGCAGAGCAGCGTACATATCCCACTGCAGAGCAGTGTATGTGTGTCACTGCAGAGCAGCGTACATATCCCACTGCAGAGCAGTGTATGTGTGTCACTGCAGAGCAGCGTACATATCCCACTGCAGAGCAGTGTATGTGTGTCACTGCAGAGCAGCATACATATCCCACTGCAGAGCAGTGTGTGTGTGCCACTGTAGAGCAGCGTATGTATCCCACTGCAGAGCAGTGTGTGTGTGCCACTGTAGAGCAGTGTACATATCCCACTACAGAGTGGCGTATGTGTGCCACTGTAGAGCAGCCTACATATGTCACTGCAGAGCAGTGTATGTGTGTCACTGCAGAGCAGCGTATATATCCCACTGCAGAGCGGCGTATGTGTGCCACTGTAGAGCGGCATATATATCCCACTGCAGAGCAGCGTATATATCCCACTGCAGAGCGGCATATATATCCCACTGCAGAGCGGCGTATATATCCCACTGCAGAGTGGCGTATATATCCCACTACAGAGCGGCGTATGTGTGCCACTGCAGAGCAGTGTATATATCCCACTGCAGAGCGGCGTATGTGTGTCACTGCAGAGCAGTGCATATATCCCACTACAGAGCAGCGTGTGTGTGCCACTGTAGAGCAGCCTACATATCCCACTGCAGAGCAGTGTATGTGTGTCACTGCAGAGCAGCATATGTGTGCCACTGCAGAGTGGTGTATGTGTGTCACTGCAGAGCAGCGTACATATCCCACTGCAGAGCGGCATATGTGTGCCACTGCAGAGCAGCATATATATCCCACTGCAGAGCGGTGTATGTGTGCCACTGCAGAGCAGCTGGCTTCTGTTCCAAGACGTGAACCCATCTGAGGGCTTCTGAGGAGAGGATGACATGTTGGGGAAGGATCAGTCTGGCTGCTGTGTTATGACAAGGGGAAGGGCTCACAGAAGTCGGTGGGCAGACCAGTCAGTGCCAGCGACATTCCAGGGAGGGACCAAGGTGGTGTGGCCAGGTGGTGGCACAGGAGGGACAGGAAGAAGCAGATGTGGAACATATTTCTTTTTTTTTTTCTTTTTCTTTTTTTGAGACGGAGTCTTGCTCTGTCATTCAGGCTGGAAAGCAGTGGCACAATCTCGGCTCACTATAACATCTGCCTTCCATGTTCAAGCTATTCTCAGGACTACAGGCACCCACCACCATGCCCAGCTAGTTTTTGTATTTTTATTAGAGACAGGGTTTCACCATGTTGGCCAGGCTGGTCTCGAACTTCTGACCTCAGGTGATCCACCTGCCTTGACCTCCCAAAGTGCTGGGATTACAGGCATGAGCCACCGTGCCCGGACTGTGGAACATATTTCTAAAACCTGTTACAAGGACGGAGTATGAAAAGAGGAGAGGAATCTGAGGCTTCCAACCTGAGCAGCCACCTGGGAGGCTGGAGGTGCCACGTAGATGGGAGGACTTGAGGAACGAAGATGGGGAGACACTGTGTCCCTGAATAAGCTTCAATATTGTGAAAAATGTCAATTATCCCTAACTCAATCCATGAGGTGTTCTTATTTGTTTCTGGGGTTTTATGTTTGTCCAAGTTTACACAGAATAATAACTATTAATTTTTTTTGAAGTAAAGCTAGACTCTGTACCTTACTCTCAAGATGAAATAAAT